GTGCGCATAAGGACATCTCATCGAAACACTGGCTTTAGTAGAAAAACCTACAAACTAGCGCTCCGCGAAAGGGACACCCGCATAGTGAAACGCTGGCACCACTAACATGAGCAAGACCTGGGCGTGGTGACACAGGAGGCTAACCAGGTGAGAGAGAACCAAGGTCCAAGGTCCAAAGCTGTAGTCTGAAACAAGGGGGCATGAGGCATGGATTAAACACAGGTATGTGAAAGAAGTAACATCTCTGAAAGACTGCGCCGGGCGACACTTCCTCTGCAGACAGGGACGCGGCCCCAGGAAGGAGGCACTTTCTACTTCACACCCTTTGTACACTGCATGGCTTTTAAAAATCGTAGGCACGAATTATTTTGCTATTGATTGTACTCACAGCCTTCTACATCCGCTTACAGTCCTTTGCTGTCGTTTAGTCAAAATTAGAAGGTTCCTTGGTGTTTGCTTCCCCTGTCCCTCTACTCAACATGGAGGGGAAATGTGGAGAATTTAGTTTAAATCTTGTTTAAACTGCAACTTGGGTAACATCTACTCAAGATTCCAAAGAACCAATTTTAAAAAAAAAGATCAATGGGCATTTAAATCCGCCACTGAAGCATTCTACCCAGGGCCACTTCTCCTTCACCCAAAGCCTGACGGTAACGCCCAACTGTCACTCACTCCACAGCCCTCGAGTCCAACAAGCTTCAAGACCTGATTTCAAGAGATGCTGAGTTCTTTCCCATTGGCAAAAAATAAGCAGAATGCACAGAGGTCATCATGTCCAAAAGAAAATACATTCTTGGCAAAAGCCTTCACTGGAAAAATATCATAAATTGAAATCCTAGCCTGGCCGGGCATGGCTCGGCGGTTGAGCATCGACCTGGGATCCGGGCAATCGGGGTTCGATCCCCGGTCAGGGCACATGCCCGGGTTGCGGGCTCGATCAATGACTCTCTCATCATTGATGTTTCTGTCTCTCTCTCTCCCTCTCCTTTCCTCTCTGAAATCAATAAAGATATATTTAAAAAAAAAAAAAGAAATCCTACAAGACTGACCCCAAAATCAGAATAAGAGGAAGCATAAGAGCCCTTTTATGTCAACTCAGGATTTGCCAACTGACGGGCCTTACAACTCATTTTTGAAGTTTGAGGCTAAGAAAGCTGGGAGTGGTAGGCTACTGGCCACCTAAGAGCACATACTCCCTTAAAACTATTCGAAACCCAAGTTTCTGAAACACTGTGGAACAAAACACGACTGCAGACAGAACTCAAGAGTATATGCCATGAATGTGCAACCCCTACATTAGCCCAAAACGGAACTTTTTAAAACGAGGGTTGCCAGTACTTGGGTCTTTCCAGATTAAATACCTCAGGCCCCGGTATGCTTCTAGAAATGAGTTAGTGTCCAAATGTGGCTGAACTAACAACAATTTAAAACAACAGACTTCAAATATTGTATACAATCACCAAATAACAAATACATTTAAGGAATGGTTTGTGGAATTACATGTCAGTGCTATCCCGCAGCTGGCTTGCAAAAGCCTGGGAGAGCTGCTGGTACGTTCTCTCTTTCTAACTCTAAGTTTGGTGTCAGGCTGGTAGGTGAAATCAGCCACAGCGACAGCATCAACAACGCAACTATCAATCTCAATCGGTAAACACTACACAACAGGGCCCTTTTCATGAGAAACAGTTGTTAAACATTCACCAGCAAAACACTCAATTACATCTTGGTCATATATTCGCCTGTCCAAATACACCGCATAAAAATGTTAATTAATGACATGACATTTTAAAATACAGTGGCATAGAAGCATGGACCAGACTGAGGAATCTCAGAGGGAAGGCGGGGATGGGTGGGTGGGGAGAGAGGAACCAAAGAGTTTATATGCACATATGCATAACCCATGGACACAGACGACAGTGTGGGGAAGGCCAGGGGAGGGGGAGGGGGTCAATGGGGAAAAAAGGGGACATCCGCAATACTTTCAGCAATAAAGATAAACTTAAAAATAAAACAAAACACACAAAAATAAAATATACCAAAATATTTTAACTAATGAGAATCCATTCAGTGCAATAGGCTAACTTAATACAAAGTTTACCAACAGCATATTTTACACATTTAAAAACTGTCTAGGAAACAAACTATATTGATAAAGTTAGAATGTTTCACAAACTGTGATACTTTAAAGATCTCTTTAGCTTAAACATGCTCCACTAATTATCCATTTACTTATAAAGTTTAAATCAATCCCTAAAGAATAAACTGTACTGATTTCATCAAACTATAAATAGAACCCAAATTAAATGACGAAGTTTTATTAGATACACAGGATATACAAACTCTTGGAATTGAAAAAGATTTTTCTTAAATCTTACACATAAATGTGATAGCATTTTAATTCGACAAAATATTTGCTCCCCGAACAAAAGCTGGCGTTAGCTTGGCCTCTTTATGCCCTGCTTCCTTCCTTTAGGTACCAGTCCACTTTAAGGACTGAATGAAAAGCACTTAGCGAGTTTCTGACACATTGAAAGGGCTTAATAAACCACACCCCATGATACCACATTACTTTGAAGTCATCATTTTTCTAAAAATGTGTTTATTGATTTGAGAGAGGAAGGGAGAGGGGCACAGAGAGAAACATCGATCAGCTGCCCCCGGCACGCCCCCTCCTGGGGGTCGAGCCCCCAACCCGGGGATGTGCCCTCTCCAGGAATGGAACTGGTGACCTCTTGGTTCATAGGTTGATGCTCAACCACAGAGTCACAAGTGCTGGGCTGAACTCGTTACTTTTTTAAAAACATATCTTTACAATGGTTCCCTAAAGATTAATTTTCTAATGTAAGTCTGAAACTGCGAGTGGAGGCCAAAGATGAGGTGAGTCACTCTGAACGCGAGTGTGGTACAGGCGCACAAACATAGACAACGGGCCAAGCGCCAAGGCGCAGGGGAGGGAAACATCTCAGAAAGAACGTCTTACAGTTCGCCAAGAGCAGCAACAAAGCCAGCACACGTGGTGACCACGGTCTTAAACCACCTCTTAGAAAGGTACTGTCCTTCACTATTCTTCATGTGTTGAAGGTCTGGGGTGGGGCAGGGGCTGGGAGGAGGGGAGCTAAGGGGGGAAATTGGGGGAGCATCTGTAATACTGTCAAAAAAATATAAAATTTAATTTAAAACATTTTTTAAAGTCACTATTCTTCGAAAGAATTTCAGCCTGGCAGGGCATGGCTCAGTGGCTGAATGTCAACCAGGGTTTGATTCCCGGTCAGGGCACATGCCCAGGTTGAGGGCTCAATCCCCAGTCGGGGGCGTGCAGGAGGCAGCCGATCAATGACTCTCTCATCACTGATGTTTCTCTCTCTCTCTCCCTCTCCTTTCCTCTCTCTGAAATCAACATATATTTTTAAAAAAAATTCTTATAAAAAAAGGAATTTCAAAACATTTTGTTCCAGTGAGAAGCAACATCAAGTGCTATCTTTACAACGGACACAGTGTGAGAAGCCCCTGGGGAAACAGCATCCTTTACTTGTACTAGTTGCTTCCTGGAGGGTAATGTTAGGGGAATCCATGTTTCATATATACATATATATGTGTGTGTATGTGTACAAATATGCATGTATATTTATGTGTGTGCGCGCACGAGCACTAAAGTTATTAACTATAAACTTTCCTTCCTCAAGGTGTTCTACTGAAGTTTTTAAATAGCTATTTGATAGTGCCTCAAAACCAATACACAACTTTCATAATAGTAAATGATTCCAAAATAAACACCAATAGCCATGAACCAGAACTTATAATATCCTTTTAAAAAGGCGATATTCACCAATTTCATTAGCATCAAAATACTATCAAATAAAAATAGAAGAATCCAGAAAACAATGTTAACATTTGCAATCTCAACAGGCATTTCAATTTTTCCCAAGTAAACAAAAAAACTTAGTACAGGGAGTACTGTTTACAACTAAACACTGTTGCTCCAGAAATGTACACATTTAAAGTGCAGTGCAGTGGTTTTCAAAGTCTGGTCTGAGGACCCTTGAGGGTCCCCAAAACACAAGGTCTCAACTATTTTCACAGGAGTACCAAATGTTCTCTGTTCCACCCATGATCTTACAAGTACGCAGTGGAGTTTTCCAGTGTCTACATGCTACGTCACATACAAAGAATCAGGAGACTCCAACTGCTTCTCAAGCCAGATATTAGAGAAGAGCAAAATATAAAATAATGTTCTTCTCACTGTTTTTGGATAACACTTATTTTTATCAAAAATGGTATTTGTATTAACATGTAATGGGTTTATTATTGTTATATTTAAATAAACAGTTTTTAAATGACTTAGTACTAATTTCTAATACAGTAAATTCTGACCAACATGTTATATAAACAAAAGCTCTCTGGGGATGTTCAATAATTTTTAAGAGTTATGGCCCTGAGACCAAAAGGTTTCAAAACTATTGGTAAAATGGCAGGGAAGCATCCACTTTACCAATTTCCAGGAACAGCAGCAGAGGCGGCGTGTGCTGGGGACAGGGGAAACTCACAGGTAAAGCACTGATCGCTCCTTCAAATTCACAGAAGGAATTACTTGAACGAAGATGTGATTACCTAATCTCTATTTTCACAAAAATAAAAATACAATATGCCTTTAAACTTTATCAACAAAGTTCGCCACCTGAAAAGAATGTTTTCTTTGCTTAGTGAAGGTAGAAAAGAGAGATCTGACTCAACCGGTAGCCAGGAAACACGGTCTTCAGCCCCATTGCCTTCGAGAATTTTCCCCTCTTCCGTACTCAACACAGTTCTCACGGTCTATATAAAACCAGACGCAATCCTGAATATGAGTGTCTAAGTGAAGTTGATTTAAATCCACTATAAATCTGGATCGCTTCTTAAACTAAGTTATTTCAATTTTATAGGCTCTCATTTCAAGTAAGTCGTTAAGAGTTCCCATTTAATTACAAAATTCAGAATCTACTAAGAAAAAATAGTCTTTAAAATTATTTTAATAACAACAGTTTAATTTAGTTATTTCTTAGATGGAAAGCCTGGAAGGTTATTAGGGTAATGGCCTACAATTATATATTATAACTTTGTACATATGGATTGATTGGGGCCCAATACAATCTAAAACACAGACATTCAAAGACATTTCTTTAGTGTTCCATGAAAAAGGGGCTGGAAGGAGACCCCACAAATGTAGAGACACTTCAAGTATACACCAACACACACCACAACCATTGCAGCATTCATTTAATTCTAAAAGAAGAGGCATACTGCTTAGAAAAGGGGCAGAGGTCTCCCAGTCTTCTTATCAAAGTGGGTCAGAAAAACCACACATTCAGCTGGATATGCAACGAACATCAATGTTTTAACAAGTCTAACACGCTACACAGATTGAGTATAGTAGGATAACTCACATAGCCGCCACTGAAAAAGGTATTCAACATGAATAAAATGTCTGAGGAAACTGATGTTCACCTCTTTTAATACCAAAGCTTTTAAAAAAAATTTCTAATCATTGTAAGATAAAACATTATAAACACGTGTTACATATTTGTACATGTAACGTCATCTTTTCTTGATGACACAGAGCCATCGGAATAGACAGTTATTAGAAGATGATGTAATTTAGTGGCCTGGGCTTGGCTGGCTGCCCCTTACACTAAATGGTCTTCAACAGTGTATGCTCTTCATAGTTTTTCTATCTCCTTCCTTTCAAGCCACCACTTCTGAACTGCTAATATACTATGGGCTGGGAAGTCAAATAATCAGCATAGACTTAATGACTTATGTAGGTTGCGCAAAGGCATTAAAAAACAAAACAAAAAACTATTCCAAGTTTCCCAGTTGTGTTGTTTTGATGAGACCACCAGATTATCTCTGGATGAATGAGGCATTACTGCACATAAATATTTAAACAAGTTCATTTGAATATTAACAAAAAGATATAACTAAACATTAGTATCATTGCCTTTTTTAAACAAAGTATTCTATAACTTTAAGGTAACACTGGGTTCCAGTTTCTTTGCCCCAGAGATGAACATAAACAAATGTCCTATTAATAGTATCAGTTTGTCCAAAGAAAACGAATCTGAGGTGCACTCATGTCACAGTTAATGCATGTCTGCTTCCAATACATTCAAAGACAGTATTTTAAATCAATATTTAAAATAGGCCTTTTGCAGTCTGAGAATTCAAGATACTTTAAAAAATTTGTAAATACACATACATGCAAATTCTTCATATATACAAATTTCACAAAATTAAGACGTTGCAAAGAAATTAGAAGGGTTATGGTGACTCTGACAAGCTTCACTTAAATGCTTTACCACTGACATATTCCTGAACATAGCAGTCATAGTAGTTTTAATACATCTTCTACATGGCCTGTTTATAAAATTTTCTCTTTTAGACATAAAAGTTAGTCACTAGCAGTCTTCTGAAATTCTCATTTAAGAATTCAAGGTGTTCTCAATTCACTACTCATATTTAAGGCCACTTTGGTAAAGGCATTGCAGCAAGAACACAAAAACAATAGCATATTTTCTAATATTTATTTTTTTCACCTGCAAACTGTAGCAAAACATGATCAGCTTCATTACGCAGACAGGTATCCTCCCACGTCTCTAAAGAACTCAGGCGCGTATAAACAGACGCGCTCCTCAGAAGGGAAAAATTCCAGACCGAATAAAACCTTCCAGTTCTGACTTCGTAACCTTCCAGTAGCAAGGGTTCAAATGATTCAGGTCATCCATTCCGATACATGACAGCACCTTGAAAGTGGCTGATCTATTTCCCCAGTAACATTTTTCACATAACAATGTGTTAAAAGTTACAAATACTGATATGCACAAATAGCTAATTTCTAAGAAAAATATGTACAGTACTGCAGTGTAATGAATGTGGTGTCTGCAATAACTTAATATTAGCCAATTTTTAATATACATGATACCACTACCTTTTCCTGCCAACTCACAGGTTAAAAGTTGTTACTGGAGCCCTCTGTTCTGCACGTATTACCTGGTGTTTAATATATAATGCAGGCTTTTTAAAGACTTCTCTTGTGTTTAAAGCTAAGATCAGTGAAACAAGACAAGTGCAAGAGGTGGAGAGATGTAATGTGACCACATAAAAGTTCGTTCCAGTAAAATGTCTATATAAGGCTATAAGAAAGGATTTGTTGATGAGCTTCCTGTTGGAAATTGTCCTGTCGGTGCACCAGTCTAAAGGAAAACATAAGACAAAGTAAATAAGCAGATAAGGGTGGTGTGTGTGTAGAAAAGATAGAAATATTAAACAGTAATTACTAGCTATCAAGTTTATTCACTATCATTATTAGCAACATACTATAATAAAATGATTAGGTGTTAGGCACTGGGTTGTGCCTTTTATATAGATTATTTCATATAATTCTCAAAACAGATTCTAAACAGAACGTGACTCTAAAAAAATGCATTTGTGATTCAAACCAAACCTGACTGAAACCCCTTCCACCATGTTCACTAAATCTACAACCTCTCATAAAGTGTTACTTTAACAAAAAGCAGACAGTTTCATGTTATAAAACAACTTATTTACTGTCAACTCTTTGATTTCAAATGATTACGGTGTGTTTTTTAAGTCACAAAAGAATCGTGCACAGTGGCTCCTCAATTTGTACACCTTGCAAGGTCCAGGACAATACCAGGCAGGATCTAGGAGTCACATCCTGCTTCTCCTAATGTGAAAATAACACAGAACAACTTATAAAGTGCTTAAAATTGCACCTCACTTACCATAAAAGGATTACTAGATACTCCAGCAGCTGAAACTTGACCAAAAGGGGTTACCACTGGCTTTGTTTGTCCAAACGCTGCAAAACCTGCACCTTGTTAAAACAGAACCACCAATTAAAGCCCATTCAACCTCTGAGAGATAATCTGATGTTTATAAAGCTTCAGGACATGTTTCAGAGAAACTCCTACCAGAGTAACGATAATAAAATATCAATGTTAAATTGTTGGGTCTCAAGCTCCTTCAACACCAGAAAACAAGCTTCCTGTGGAATGTCTTAAAGAGCTTTTTATACAGCTCCCCAGAAATGGTTACTTCGCATTTGTCTCAGTGAGGTAAGCTACTGACACTCTAAGGATTTAACAAACATGAGCCAGAGGCAACTGCTCGAGAGGGGCTGTGAGGACCACAGAGCAGTTTCTATGTGAACGTCACAGTATTCCTCAGGAAGCATTTCATCATTATGGCTCTGTCACGGACCCTATTTCCAAATTTTTATTTAACCACTAACTTTAAAAAAGAATATATGTAATTCGAGGATAATCTTCAAACCTACAGAATTCAAACTTTAACCATGAACAGAATCGGGAGGGAGACACACAAACTAGTCTCTAGTGAACCTTCATGAAAACAAGTAACAATTTCTAACCATAATATATATTATCTAACCATAATATATATTGAAAACAAGTAACAATTTCTAACCATAATATATATTGTTCAGAAAACCAGTCTATGTGACCACCACCCCCCAAAAATTTAAACAAAATGGCACACAAAGTTCTCTGATGCAAAACAAAAACACCCTAGGGTTCTTAGTTTCTTTTTAAAATCAAGAGATGTATTAGCTGTATGAGAAGACAGATAAATAAGGACACTGGGGATTCTGAGAAAGAAGGGGTCCTTCACAGTCTCTGATTTCTCCTAAGTCTATGATCTGGTTACAAAAACTTACTAATTCAGTCAATTTCCTGAGGCCCAAATATATAGTCAGTGGACCACACTACAGCAGTCTTCAGGTAAGTCCTTTTGTCCAAACACATAACATTATGACATAAAAAGAGACCTAACGCGGACTTACAGGCAAATGTCAGATCTTACCATTGGGCTGTTGAGAAAAAGCCGTCTGTTGAGGGAAAGCTGCTTGGGCTGGGAAGGCAGGCTGCTGGAAGCTGCCACTAAAGCTGGTGGGAAGACTATAGGGCGCAGGAGTACCGAAGCCCGCAGGCATGCTCATGGATGCAGTGCCAAAGGTGGCCGCTGGCAGGAGAGAAGGGCTCATCACTTACACACAAAAGGGCACATTCTGTTTCTCATATTCAACATTACAGAAGAGACATCATTTACCTTGTAAACTATTACGAAGTACGTTAAAGGCATTCTAAATTTCAAAACTCAACAAAGTTTGTAGTTAAATTTTAGCGCTACATGGTGTAACAACCTATAAAATTTTATTTTCCTAAAAGCCAATAACCAGAATAAAGCTAATGAAAAAAATTTCTCAAAGTATATAAATAAAGTCCAAGTCTAAACAGTAGTCTACCTATTAGAGCCCATCACCATGCAATTCACATGTATACATACTAGTCTAGTTTTTTTTTCATTTTGTTTTGCTATATATACTAACACAGCCAAATATTTAATTTTATCTGTTAAACTGTGTGCTATAACATAACATGTGAATTCCTGGAAAAAAATTTTTGCCAACCTCTGCAAAGCAGCACATTAAAAATAACAAGACTTACAGGAGAAACAAGGTTAGAGGCAGGCCACGCAAAACCTATGCAGCTTTGTAACCAGAGGCAAAAGCGGGTAAGGGGATCTTAATAAAAACACTAACACAATTAAAAGGACATGTTATACTCCTAATAGATCAATTCCAAAGGACATACATGGACTCCCACAATCCTTTTTAGACAGTAAACAAAGCCCGCTCTGGGTAGAGGGTTAGGGAAGGTTAGGGCTGCGGAGTTGTAAGAATCAGGGCAAACCCACGGCCCGAGGAAGTGCGATCAGCAGCGTCAGGGGAGACACAGCCCAGGCAAAGGCACAGAGTCCAACCTGCTCCTCCACGCCCGCCACGGCCAGCCACCGGCCAGCCACCGTCACCGCAGGGACAGCAGTCACAGGCCGGGAGGCTGCGTGTGAACTACCGCTCCCCACTCCTGAGTTATCCAGGAGCTCACGTTACAGAATAGGAGCACAGCAGTGCATTTCTGCGGCTAGAGCAGGTTGTGTGTGCTGGGGAAGGCCTCGCGAAGGAAGAGCCAATAATGTCGCTTTTAATACAGAATACGGTAATTACACAGGGAGACAGTTTAGTGTGATGCTATCAAAAAACATAATTCACTGAGTTTCCTGATTTAAAAGTTTACTTAACTGCTGATTTCAAGCACAGAAATTAATACTAAAAATGTTACAAAGAATTCTTTTATATATATAAAAAAAAAAGTTATAGATAATGCCCAAAGTAATCCTCAGAATCGGAATGTTTATAACAATGATCCTCAATGAACCTAATTAGAATGTCAAAAAAATTTAAATTACTTTCTCATTATTGAGGAGAAACAGGGGAAACAGCCACCGGGAAGCAAGTGAATAAAGAAGCAGCACACTGCGAGGGAAGGGAACAGGAAGGCTTCATAACAGACAACAATGCACTGACAGAACTTTGACAAATCACTTTTTAAAAAGCACTAAAAAGCAAAACTTGGATATAGTTAAACAAAAGCAAACTCCATGGACTAATGTGGCAAAATGGTTTGATATATCAAAAATGTATCAAACTACTATAAATTAGAACTCAGGAAAAATAATCGCAAGAGCTATTAGCACTCTACTGTGACCACAGAGGTAAGCAATGCTTTCAGCATTAAAACATAAATCACTATAAAGATTTCCATGTAACTGTAAATACAAGGTAATCCCAACACCACACATTCATGCCCACTCCATTTAAAACATGGAAAACTTATTTCCACATGCAGGGATCCAGGACACTAGCAGAAGCTTCCACAAGCAGGCAGACAAACTGCCACATGAATCTAGACAGTCGCTGGGGCCACCTACCAAAATGAGCGTGAGGGAACACTTGAGAATGCATTGCTCCAGAAAGGCCTTATGGAAAGCCGCAAAGAGACCAATGTCAATTAACTTAATGGTAACTATTGTCAAAATAAATCTGTTTTCATTAAGAAGTTCTAAAATTAGAATGTACTATTACAAAGTGAGTAGAATACATGATAAAAACACATTCACAGTTTTTTACTTGAACTATATTTATGACACTGTAATATTTACACTGTTTGCAATACAAGGGAGATCAGAATAATACCAAATGAAGAAACAGTCATGAAATCCATCATCGTAAATAAACACTAACATTTTTTTATGTGAAGATACAACTATATCCATAAGAAGACCTGCAGGCCTGAGTGACACCCAAAAATGCTCCTTACTGACGATATCCGCTAAAATGACCTACGTAAACTGACTCTGTGGTTCAAGAAAGTCTCATCTCCATGAGTGGGTTTCCTCGCCTGAAAAATGAAGCTCTGATGGGGGAGTGGTGGGCACTAGTCAACTTCTAAGGTCCTTCTCAAATGTTAAGTTCCAGGATGTTATCAACTTTCAGCTAATATCTGTCTTTATGAACAAACTCTCCCATCCACTTCCCATTGACTTCAGTAAGAAAGAATCCTTATTTTCTAATGTTCTCCACATGGGTTTTTGGCAATAAATACCTTTTCCAAAACCTGCTGTTCTGTAATCTGTATTTCTCACCTGTTGCTCCTCTGGCATTGGTCTGAAATGGATTTGTAGAAGATGCCACGGAAGGACCTGTAGCAGCCACAAATGGGTTTGTGGAAGGCGTAGCTTTAAAAAATTATAAAACACACTATAAAATCCTAATACACTTATATTCAAATATTTAAAAGTATCTGTGCATATATTTATGAAGATAGAAAACTAGAGCTTTCTGATAATAAAGTGTTGCTCTGTCATCTGATTCCCCTAAAAAAATGCTAAACAATATATATTTGTGCTCTATAAAAACCAGGGTCTACATTAGTCCCCCTTATCCATAATTCTGCTTTCCACGGTTTCAGTTACCAACAGTAAACAGCAGTCCAAAAATGTTAAATGAAAAATTCCAGAAATAAACAATTGATAAGTTCTAAACTGTGCACTAATCTGAGTAATGTGATGAAATCTCTTTCCGTCCTGCTCGACTTTTACTTAATAATGGCCCCAAAGGGCAAGAGGAGTGAGGCTGGCAATTTGGATATTGCAAAGAGAAGCTGTAAAGTGCTTCCTTTAAGTAAGAAGGTGCAAGTTCTCAACTTAATAAGGAAACAAAAAAAAGGCATGCTGAGGTGCTAAGATCTATGGTAAATTACCAGATTCTATAAATTAAACTTTATGTTATCATATATATATATAACGCACAGGAAAAACATAGACCATGTGGGGTTTGGTACCATCTACTGTTTCAGATATCCACTGGGGGTCTTGGAATGTATCTCCCCCAGATAAGGGGGGGACGACTCTGTACCAGGAACACCTACCTCCAAATGGAGCAGGCACACTGGAAGAAGCCGGCTGTGTCTGTGCAGAAGCACCCACTGGCATTGTTCCAAAAACATTGCTGAAAACAAATGTTGAAAGAGTTCTAATTTTTTTTAAAAAAGCAAAGATAATTTATCTATAGGGTGGCCATAAAAATGTGGAAACTGATCCCTATGAACATATCATGTATCACAGAAGTTCTCAGACTTTAAGTCTCAGTACTCATTTACAGTCTGAAAAATCACTGAGAGTCCCAGAGCCCTTGCTTCAGTAAGCTATGCTTACCAATATGCATATAGTACAGAAATTAGAACATATTTTAAATAATTTTTTCATTTAAAAATAACAATAAAGCCATTATATGATAACATAAATAAATAGCATTTTATGATAACTATATTTTCCAAAGCAAAAGTACTTAATGAGAGGAGTAACACTGAGATTTTTGCAAATCCCTTTAATGGCTGGTTTAACAGAAGATCAATCTGCTGTGATATGTTGTTTAGGCTGAAGTATATATGAAAAACAAACACGCAAAATAAAAACTGGCCTCATATGGATACACAGTTGAACAAAGGAGTATTTTAATAGCCTTTTCAGATAACTGTGGATATTTTCTCTTCTGTAATACCAAAACAGTGACAGTTTCCTAAAGGTTAGCTGCAATATGGAATGAGAAATCTTATCAGTGAACTCTTTTGTACTCGATTACAGTTAATATTCACTAGACTATCTTGCACTTTTAATGAATCTTTTACTGATGTTAGGTCATCTGGAAAACACTTGATGCCTATCTTCCAAATGTCAACATATTTCCTTATACAAATTTTTTTAAAAATCACATTAATATCCCCACCTACTTCATCAAAAAAGTAATGGGAAACTGTCAAGCTCATGGTGAAGTCAATCAATTTTCCAAAATTCTAGTATTTGCTTGAATGTGTGACTATTATCAGTTATTTTCATAAACTGACAGTTAAATACTGTATTTTTTTTAGAAATTATTGACAAATACCCAAATCTAAATAATCAGGGTCTGCCTATCAGGTATCTTTCGGGGAAAAACGTGTTCCAGACACAAGGGCCGCTTCCTTCCACAGCAACCCCATGATGACTTTCCCAAGACGGCATCAGACCCTGATATGCAGCAGACCTGCTGGTGCATGTCTTACTGCAACGCTCATAAAAGAGACATGTTTAAAGATCAAGATTTAATAAAATTAATTTCTTGACTGTTTCATCAAGAATATTTATAAGCCCTGGCCGGGTTGCTCGGCTGATTAGAGTGTCATCCTGTGCACCAGAAGGTGCGGGTTCAATCCCTGGCCGGGGCACATGCAGGAGGCAATTGATCAACGTTTCAATCTCACGCTGATGTTTCTCTCCCTTCCTCTCTCTCTAAAATCAATTTAGACCAAAAAAAAAAAAGAAAAGGCATGTCCTCGAGTGAGGATTAAAATAACAAAACCAGAGATGAATAAAACAATGTATAGGTAAGTCGTCTGTCCTTCTGTGCACCTTAACTCTAAAATTAAGTGAAAACCATAAAGATCTAATGTTGTTAAGATGTGTCAGACTTCCTGCTGCCAAGAATTCCTTTATACCAGATATATCTGAACACAGTAACAGATATGTCTATTTATAAACACCAGTATGACACTGAAGAGATATAGAATTAGTGCTGTGTTCTGGTGCAAACATTTCTAAAAACGTGTATTTACAACTAAGGTTACAACATGTTACTTTCAGTGTTTAGTCTTCATGACTAAAAACTGTACCTTAAAAGTATATAATTTCCTAAATGGATTCTCTGCTGAGTATAATTAAACCTGTATGTAGCTGTCCATTTTGAGATGTGTATATACTCTTAGTTATTACATTTTGGTGTTCAAGAAAGTAATAAAACCTTTGATTAAATGAAAAGATTATTCAAGGATTACATTTTAATTAGCAAATTAAACTCAGTTTCCTCAAATTTATAAAAATATTCCATAATTTTAAAAGTGTGCCCCAGTCATTATCTGATAACATCATTACTCGGAGTTGAAAAATGATTGAAACACAAAGTGGGAAGACAAGGTACCTGCTAGCATTACTGGTGGAAGTGTATGCATTACTGGAGGTGGCTGCAGAGCTGAAAACACTATCTAGTTCTGCCAGAGCCGCATACTTGTCTGAAGATGCACTTGGCTGACTGGGAACCGAAACCACAGAACTAACAGGAGCTTTACCTGTGGTCCCAAAGCCACTCCCCTGATCACCACCTGTGAACAAACAAATTACACCAAAAATTCCAAAGTATACTTCCACATTTGCCATGCAACACATGTGAATTTACAACTGATCTGGAGCTAAGCAAATACATAGGCCTCTAAAGTCTTATCTAATAATCTAGAAAATATTGGACAAGATTAGCTGCAATACATGCTGCTGTGATAAAGACAGAATAATGCTTCTATAACAAAAAACTAAGATTCTGTACCAACAACACCTCTAGACTGTGCGTAAAGAAGAAATTCTCAAAAAGTGCTTCTTAACATCTCTTGAGACAGGTGTAGTTCACTCAAGTAAACATACAAATTCATAAAATACAGGACCCTAGTGTGAATATCTATTAATATCATTTTCCCAGGGTTGTCCATAAAAAAGTTAGAGATAGTAAAAGAGGAAATAGTTACTGACCACTTACTATGTGCCAGGCACTGTTCTAAATGCCTTTCATGCACTAACACACATAACCAACTCCATGGGTTCAGTGCTATTTCCTACCCACACTTTGCAGAGGTTTCAGTAAGTCGGTCCTGCAGGCTCAGGACACAGCCCAGCCTGAAGCAGACCCTGGCCCTTCCCCACGCACTATGCACTTTGAGGGGCAAAATACTGGCCCCTAAGACCAAAACTAGAATAAAAATCCTTTAAAAAAAAATTACCACGATAGTAATAAAAAACAGTTCAAAATGAATCTATTACTAAAACCACCAAATAAAATAGCCTTTCAGTCAGTTCTATTAATAAGATTCTAAATCTTGTATGGCCTTAGAACAGTGAACATTCTTTCTAAGACAAAATTAAATTTCTGTCAATTGTCTTCTTTTAAAACTAGAAGTATAAAAACTAGTTTCTACGCCTCTAGTTTTGTAGTTGATATTTCAGATGCTAAAGGTCATGAACATTTAGTGTAAAGAAAATTTCTATACAACCACTAAGAAAAGCATAGCATCCTCAGATTTTAATAAATACAACCAAATTTGAAGGACTGTTTAATATAGAAATTTGTATTTGTTTTGTTTGAAGTTTGATTACCTTGCCCAGCACTGAAGATATTGTCTAAATTAGCAAGTGCCGCATACTTGTCTGCAGCCTGAAGACCAGCTTTATTTGTTGAAATTTTACTAACAGTTGTTGCTGTTTGATGACTCTGGGAAGTATTGAAAGTTCCAAAATCAGCACTGGAGGATTTGGGGAAGTTATCAAAATGAGCAAAACTGGCATTTACCGATCCAGCACTTCCACCTATAACAGAATAAATGGAACACTTGAAACACCTGGGCCCCCCAATATCCTGAGGCAGATGATATGGTCCTTTCTTCCTAAATTAAGCATTCTATAAGCAATCTGCATTTTTAAAAACAGTAACTGGCAAATAGCATTGGGCCCTAACCATCTACACAAGATTTTTTATAATCTGCAAACCTAGATTTTCAAAGGCCCTGGTAACATGAAGAGTTACAAATTTCTATGTGTAATTATCTACCCTGGAGTAAAGACTATAATTCACCTGGTTTAAGACTTGTTACTTTATATAACATTCAGTTATATACCATGACCTTTTAAAAGTTCTCCTGCTAACAAGATGCAAAGTATCTTTTGATTCTACACTCTTGATACCAGTCCTTTATGCCTATACATTAGTTTCAGCAATCAAAACAGTATATACATATAGTTTTATATTAAAGTGATAGTAAAACAAGCATAGATATTTTAAAAACAGAACGGATACACCCCTATTAAAAAAAAAAACACACTTTCCATCGATCTGTTTTTTAAACATTCTAAAACAATACAGTCCGATAAAATTTCTTCGGTATTAAAACTCTGGTAGTTTCCAAATAATTAAAATTAAGTAATGTGTGTATTTAAACAATCATAATTTGTTACAAGTAGCTGGTGAAAATAACGTACATACTAGAGCTTTCAAAGTTTGTATGAAGAAATTTATTTCTAATTTGAAAAATGGAATTATTAAATCAACTAACTCTCTTACTGTATACTAGTGTGTTCTCTCAGTCTGGGTTTAGGAATACTGAAGGGAAAGTAAAACTGAGAATTTATGAAGATTATTAAAAGATGACTAACATTCTATAATTGAAAAACCCATGAAATAGAGCATTAAACACACAAATTAATAGAAGATGCCTACTTGACAACAGAACTTACTGTTGGGAGCCTGGAGAGGAAAAGCGGAAGTAAAGTCACCAAAACTGCAGCTAGATGAAAGCATTCTAATTGCTGGACAGCCAGAAATTATGTAAATGATGGAAGTTAAAGGAAAAAAGAAAAAGAAAATTGAAAGAAAAAGCTTTAAGACAATACACAGAGTTCAAGTCGAAAGCAAAGTAATCAGCCAAAGATCTACACATGGGCTCAATGAGTTTCGGAAAACAACAGGAATGGGACAGTATTCAGTGTTTAAAGACCAATTCCTGCACAGAAAACAATTTCCAAGTTTGATCAAAGTGATCCTTAAATAACCTACTCTTGACTAATAACACTTATTTTTTCAAGTCTGTTGTCCCGCAAATTACTTATACTTTTAGTTCTATGGAAGCAATCAATTAGCTTTCTTTACTTAGAGCCTAAATCAATGTTTTGTGAACCTAAAAACTGTAGTACTTTAATTCCTCCTTGCATAAGAAGTTTAAAGAGGAAGATTCATGTGCAGGAAAAGGAGAACAGATCTTGTGAATTAGACAAAATACCAGAGTTCAGAAAAACAAATGGACACAGAAAAAAATAAAGATTTCAGGTTTCCCCAGAGCGTTGTAAGATAGAACTATTTTAAAATCAGGTAATTATAGAATTTAAGCTTAAAGTAATTTTCAAAACTGTATCTAGAGAGTTTTACTTTGTTTTTTAAAGTAAACATTTAGGCATAACGCTGGAGAAGCTCTACCTGTAGTTTGGGGCTGAAAAGGAGAGTGACTTGCTGTGGGGAAACCTCCAAAATTACTCGAACCACTAGACTGTCCAAATGCATCAAAGTTTGCAAAATCTGCATTTGCAGAATTCTGAGCTGTAAATGGTAAGGAACAGTACATGTTAATGAATATGAAAACTATAAATAAAAAACATGACAAACGAACTTAACAATTTTATGAAAGGTCTCTACATCTCAGAACTCACTTCAAAGACATATAGAGATCAGATTTTAAATCCTACCAGTGTTTATTTAGCCCAATTTCAAACAGTTTATTAAAGGGTATCCAGAAGTTTCCAAAAACACTTTACACAATGATAACTTTGTACACAATACCCACTGAGTGACCTCAGGAATAGTACTATAAATGTAACTCTATTAAAGAAAACTGAATTAAGAGCACTAACTACATGAGTTACAGTAAAGCAGATAGAAATTTAGGATATGGGATACATTCTGGAAAACTCAGATTTAAAATGGCAATGAGTGATTCATTAGCTGGATGAAATCTAAAATACTAATATAAAGATGGTTTAATTACATTAATATTCTTTTTGGTTCTTTCTTTTTATGTTCAAACTTTGTCATACCATGGCACATAAAAAGAAAAAGAAAACAAACTTAAATGTATAACAAGAAAGAAATGCTTGTCAAACAGAAGAGATTCACATTCTACCAGAAGCCTGCAGCTTTCAATCACATTAAAATGTAAGACACAATGAAAACTAGTAAAAACTATAATGTGAGTGCACCTCACACTCAATGAAGAAGACCCACTGGTATTTCCCACTCATCAACCTAAGAGCAAAATTCCCAGCTTCTCTTAATTATTCAACTAAATAAAACAATTCAACAGATTTTTTTTAGAGGCCAAAACAGATTCTGGGTAAGATTTTTATAGAGAATCTGATGAGAATAAGTGGTTGATATGAGGGAAAGGGAATGCTAAGTGGTAAGAATGAAAAGAATGTCCAAAAAATAGATATTAACCTAAGATCAACCACTTTAAGTCCTTTGCAGGCATTTCTACTTCTAGGAAGTTTTTGTGAAGAAATAATCTTGTAAATGAGTATGGCTGAATGTAACAGCTAAACATGTTTTTCTAATGAAATAGTTAGAAACTCAAATAGCCAGCAATGAGGGAATCGCTGAAATACATTATGAAATATCATAAGATGGATATCATGCAGCCATTTAAAAAACCATGTAAAATAATATTCAATCCTATGTAAAAAATGTAAATAAGGTAAACCGGTTGATAAATTCCAGATACATTTTCATCTGCTACTTTGTTAAATATGGTATATTATGTACATAGAAAATCTGTATTTTAATTAACTCAAAGTAGGAAGATTTCAAACAGGTAACATTTCATTCTTTGCCTGAGTTTACCAAGCTTTTATAACAAATGCGTATTCTACTTGTAAACAAAACACAAAATGTTACTAAACAAAAAAAGTTTCCATTAACAGAGCTAAACATATTGTAGAAAGAAAATCAGGAAAACTTACAGCAGTGTATGTGATTACTGCTTTGTATATATCTGAAAGGGTATGACAGTCGGGGAGGAAATGTGTGACAAAATTTAATTACAGTTTACAGTTCATAGGTTTTGTGATATGTTTATAACCAGGTAAAATAACTACTAAATTCCGCAGGTAAATTATGTTTTTAATTGCATGCATATTTCTGTAAAAAGATAAAGTTTTTTAAAGAAGTAATTCAGCTGATAAAGGAATGATAAATTTAGAATATCACAGATATCACACTAACAGATCGCAGCCCTGGGCAACAAGAGCTAACTGTTACCAAAACAGCAATAATATTATGGGCCTCTAAAATCCTAAGTAGCAAATTTGCCCCTTCCACCGCAGCTCCGCTCCAAATAAAGAACCTGTAACAGATCAAGTCTCTATCAATTTACAGGAAATATAGAAGAGACGAACCTGATAAAGGACTCCACAGTGGTACAATCAACAAATTTAGACTGCTGAAAACTCAACAGGGCAAATAACCTAATTTCTTAAACAAATAAATTACAGAGAAGAAAAATGTATGGAGGAAGAACCTATAGGCTAAGAGACATATCTCACAATCGCAATACACAGAACTTATTTGAAACCTGATCTGAATAAACTGTGTGTGTGTGTGTTGTGTGTGTGTGTGTGTGTGTGTTTGAACTGGAATGGAAATTTGAATACTAATGAATTATTATTATTACTATTATTTAGGGAGCGGTAATACTACCATGAGTATGTTTGACAAAGGAAATCTTATTTTATACATACAAAATAGGTTATTTAAGAATAAACTAATATGTCTAAAATTTACTTGAAAATAACTTGCAAGGAGGGAATGACTAGAATGAGAAATGAAACAAGATTAGCCATGGTGATGAGTACATGAGGGTTCTATTATCTGGTCACTTCTGAGTATCTGAATTTGTCCATATTTAATAGTCTTTTTTCATTTTTCTATGAAAAGAGGTCAGGTCAATATGTGACACTAAGTATAGTCTCTTTTGTGATTAAAAAGCACCAGGGAGGGTGACATATACACCTTCACAGGTATGAGTGACCACTCTCAGCAGAATGTTTACTGGTACTTAAGTTCAAAAAGAAACCCTGGTTATCGGCCTGGCCGGCGTTGCTCAGTGGTTAGCGTGTCCGCCTAAGCAGCGAAGGGCTGTGGGTTCGATCCCCAGCCCCAGCTGGGGTAAATGCGGGAAGCAGCCAGTCGATGTCTCTCTCACATCCATGTTCTCTCTCTCTCCCCCTCTCCCCACCTCTCCCCACCCCTCTTCCCTCCCTTCCCCTCTAAAAATCAATAGAAAAAATATCCTCAGAGGAGGATTAATAACGACAACAAAAGGCTGTTTCTTGGAGTTTTAAACACAGCTCTGGTAAAAGTTCTTGGGAAAAACACTTACCTGCATGACTGTTGAAATGTGCAAAGTTAGCAAAATTGGCTGTAGCTGATGACTGAGGAGCTGGGGCAGCAAATATGTCTGAGCCCAGATCACTTAAAAGGTCAAACTTCTTTTCCTGCTGCTGCCCTTGAGCGCGGCCTACAACAGGGGACTGTAGACCACATATTAGTTGTAACGGGTTTCCAGTCAGATCCGCTAAATTTTTATCACACTATTCCCAACTAAACACGCTAAAAACACAGTTTTCATATTACATAATCTTTTCTTTCTGGTTTTAAGTACTTCGATATATTTTTTAAAAGCATCAATTTTCAACATCTATTCCCAAATTACCTCTCAATTTTAAGAGTCAAAAGCAGAGAAATGCAATTACAATTGTTGTTACACCTCACGAGAAAGGGTGGACTCACTGCTGAGACAGCAAGGCTCCCAGAGCACACCCTCCACAGCGGCAGTTACAACACACTGACTTAACCCTGCTCTTCATTTTCACGTAAATTTTCTGTAAAAACAGAGCAGTTTATCCAGATCCCCTAGTATGCATTATTAAGAGCGGGATTTAATTCAAATAGTACCATGCCTCAGAATCATTCTTGTGTAGGGTAGACGCTGTAATGTCACACAGTAACAGAGTTCTCACAGCTCAGTCAACTGTAATGAAGTGCAGAAGTACAAACTTTAGGTACCAACTTATTAAAAACCTTCAGTCTATTCAGTCCTTTAGAATAAGGTATATCCTGCCATGCAAAGCCACTTGTTTCTATAAACATGCTTTACAAGTCGGGCAAGGAGCGGAATTCTGCTTGAGAAATCCTTTCCTGTAAAAGTACATTGCAGAGGCTACTCTGTTCTGACTCTGATGGTTACCATAGATTCATGTTGTATAATGTATGTTATATGATATTTAGCTACAGCGGCGTTCCTGTACGCCTTCACAAAGCTGTGGAGAATTCAAAGAAACTTGTATTAGCAGTAGCAAAGGAGCAAACATACACACGCTCCAACCACTTCCCAACAATGCTTTAATGTATCATCAACCATCATGCTATTGGCATACGAGGTGATGCTATTGTCTTTAAAAATTCTCAAACTCACGATACTCAGTCCTCCTTAAGTAGAAGCCCTACAAAGACTTGACGGCTACTCACCTGGCTAGGTGTGCCCTTATTTAGGTGCAGGGCTGGTGCTGAATCTCCCAAAAGAGATTTCAGTGGTTTGACCTCAGGTGTGCTGCTCGTGCTACTGGCGGAGGAGCCTGAAATAGACGCATGAACTGATGCCACCACTTTGGCCTGTTCTGGTGGGACATACCTAAAACACACGAAAAGACAAACAGGCAGTTAACTAAGAAAAATATAGGCAATGCCATACTCAAAAATGATAGGTGTAATTCTAATTTTGCACAAGATTGTTGACATTAATCTTATTTCAAAACCCTTTGGGGCCCTGGACGGGTAACTTGGTTAGAGGTTTGTCCCAATACGCCAAGGTTGCAGGTTCAATCTCCAGTCAGGGCATATACAAGAATCGACCAATGAACGTATAAATAAGTGGAACAAAATTTCATGGTTTTTCTCCTCTCTTACTCTCCCCCTCCCTAAAAATCAATAAATAAGTTTTAGAAAACCCCCTTGGAATTGAGAGCTGAAGCTGAAGACTGTACTTAATTGAAATACTCAGAGAAAGGGTAATAAAGACTAACACAAAACCTTTTTCAGTCATTTACTTAGTTTTTCTAAGGTAAATACAGTAAGTAACTGCTTTTTTTTATAAAATAGCAACCTATCATGATGAATAGTTAATACTATAATTTAATTTTTAAAAACTAAAGTACTGTTAGATACTAAGTAACATTTGGAAACAACAGAAAGAAGGGAAAACATTATTATATTACAGTTAACAGTCTAAAATATAAAGGCCTATTACAAATCTATAAGATCAACAGGGAGACATAGAAATGAAAACACTTGTAAACTAACTCATTAGCATTCAATGTGAGTGTAAACATTACAAATTTTGTTGCTACCTATTAAAATACATACAGGGGTATGCTCTGTGTGCCAAAGTACCACTTGCAGAAACTCATCCTTAGGACTTTAACTGGGTGAGTGGACACAGGTACACGTACATGTATGTCACCACAGCACTGTTCAATCTGTTTAATATACTACTTGGCTACTCTTTTGACACGGGAAGATGTCCATATCACTTTATGGATCTTTCAGGTTTGATCCCAGTCACGTACAGACAGGATTCCCC